CTGCCTGCCTGCCTGCCTCCCTGCCTGCCTGCCTGCCTGCCTGCCTGCCTGCCTGCCTGCCTGCCTGCCTGCCTGCCTGCCTGCCTGCCTGCCCGCCGACCCACCCACCTGGCTAGCCATGTAGACACACAGGTGTATGTACGTGTTCAAAGTATGTTCGTATGTATGTGCGTAGATATGGATGTATGTCAATATCAAACCGTTGAAACACATGAACGAATAAGGACAGACATGAACCTCAACACATAGGTGCCTTGGAACTATGTGGACAGATATAAGCGTTGAAGCCAGCCACGCCGGCTGGCTTGAGAGTATGGCACGATGCTAAACCCTAAACCATGGCTTCGGGGTTGAAAGTACAGAGCCCCAGGGCCCCAACCACGCCTGAATCCGAACAGGCACTGGGCCGAACAAGCACAACACCAGAACCATGGCAGTGTCCTAGCAACAGCAAAAGAGTTTCTCCAGAACAAGCAACGCAAAGTAATCATGGCTCTGTTCCTTGAAGCATGGACCCCACATTCCCAGACCCTGACCACGGGCAGAATGGCTTCGATTGCTTCTGCCCTTACTTTGGCGATTCATTCTTGCAGTTGTTAGCACCATCTCGATTCTCACCAACCTGGCTGCTATGTTGAGTTATTACTATACTCACTCTTGAGGCGAACACTGCATTGGTCGCCCTTGTTGCTGTGATCTATGTTGCTACTTCCCCAGTTCCCCAAAAATGCCTAAACTTGCCCGAAAACCCTAAACCCCTTGAAGCACATAAAGCCGCGACTAGCGCCAAAATGCCGGCAAGGAGCGATCGTTTTGCAGGTCTGGCTGAGGAACCACCTGCCATGCCCCTAAAGGTCCAAAGCACCCTTAGGGCTTAGGGCTCATAGGGTTTAGGGTTTAGGGCTTTAGGGTTTGGGGGTTTAGGAGGGTTTTAGGGTTCTGGGGCTCAGGGTTTAGGGCTTATGCGGTTTATGGTCTAAGGGCTAGGGATTTGTCATAGGTTTTTAGGATACCGGGTGTAAGGAGCCAGTAGTCAGCGGTCTTCTAAAGGTGAAGTAACGGATTTGGGTTTAGGGTTTAGGGTTTAGAGTTGGGAGTGTTGAGAGGCTGCTAAAAAATCCAGAGGCTTAGGTACTTGGGCCAAGGCCCCAATAAATAGGTACTTGGACTTAGGATAACAGGGTCAGTACCTTGGCGAGTATGACTTAAGCAGGTACTTAGGGCCCTAAACTCTAATCCCCTCACCCTAAACCCTGCCCTATGGCTACAGTGATTGTTGAAGGTTTTTTTGGGAGTAATATTATGTGCTTACACATGCCGAATGTCCGAATGTCTTCATAGGGTCTATAGGGGTTTGGCCGCAAAACTCAAAGCCTTTTGCATCGAACGCTTCCCTCTCACACGCCGCTGTGAGATCAGCGTTCGCCGCTTGCGGCTCAGAAGAGGGCGCTGTCGGACCCGATCCAGGAGATGTTCCTGTGCCAGCTGTGTTCCGGTTCAGGTTGCATTGGGATGAACGGATTGATGAAGGACTCTCTTACCGTCGTGTAATCATGGGTAAAAGGTTGTACTTCGTCTGCAAGCCAGCGATCACAGTAGTGTCATATACGCCTCGCCTCACATGCAGACTCATGCCTCTGCATAAGGGCCCCACACCAAGCATGCAGCTAACAAACCTAATCAAGCCCTACTCGGAAAGCAATAGGAGTTTCCGAAAATTGGGGTACCTTATTTTTGGGTCCTTATAATAAGGATCCTATTATCTAGGGTACTACATTAGGGTTCCCTGTTTTCGGAAACCCCCATATTGACAGACCAGAGGATGCCGTCTCCTCGTCCCGGTGTTTTTGTTTGGTGACAGCTTAATCGTTTGACCAGGGTCGCATTGGAGCTACCTACGAAAAGGGCCCTGGGGGCTCTAGTACCCTACATAGTAGGTACCTGGGGGGTTAGGGTATAGTATTGCTCCATTTAGGGGTTGCAGCCTCACGGGAGAACTATAGGACTATCACTTTAAGCTCCTATGGTGCTACCCGGCTTCTGGTGTTAAGAACCAATAAGCCTGACTGGTCTGTTTCCTGAGCTTAGCGAGTAACATGAGATACAGACCTCCGTGCGAGTTTGAGTAGTTTACGGGGCCCCTGCCCTGCCCCCTCCAATGTCCTTACATCAGACAACATGTGCCCAAGCCCTTGCACCGAAAGCCTCGCCGGTGAACAGTGACTCAGTGACTCACCCTAACCCCCCAGGTACCTACTATATAGGGTACTGGAGCCCCCAGGGCCCTATATAGTAGGTACCTGGGGGGTTAGGGTCATGTTCCGTCAAACCCTGCAACCCCTAAACTGCTGACCCAACCACTGCAGATCAGAGTCTAGCAAAGCTTGCTCGCTGGTTCCTCAGATGAGAACGACCGGCGGCCAACAGGGCTTCAGCCCCTAAAACCCTGAAGTTCTAAGGGTCCAAGTATCTAAAAATCACATAGGTAACTCTCTAGGTTAGGGTGCCTTTTCAGGTCCCCAATATAGTACGGCAGCCTTCTAAAATGGACCCCACAAGGGACCCTAATTTAGAGAACTACTCATATACTCCCCAACATACCAACCTACGTGGGATAAGGGTTCACGAGTTCGGGGGGTGATGTTGTCCAGCGCTGAAGACCGTGCCGTTTTGGAATGCGTAGACGTCCAACTTTCAACGAAGTGTGAACACTCACAGGAGAGCTGAGGTGTTTTCATGCTACCGGCAGCAGGAATGCAGAAGATATCCCTTTTCGCACACTTATCTGCTCCTCCGTAGAGAAGTCCTCAACGCTAAACAACCCGAAACCCCAAGAGCTTCCCCCAATACAACCCCGAAACCAAAAGCAGCTAGTTCAACCTAAAGCTCAACAGCCTCCGCAACCCTTAAACCACCGCAATCCATCCGTACATATAGACGTATTTATCTATTTGCCTATTTGTTTAATGTACACCTCTCGTCTACCAATCGATTACAGTTACAGTGCCAGCCAAGCGTCGCAAGGCCAGCGCCGCTTTCTCCCGTGGAGGTTCTGCCGCCTCCCAGCGCCTCCTCAACTCAGCCGCCTTTGCGCGGGTGTACAAAGCTTATGTCTACCCGGACCCTAAAGAACCTACCTTTTTAGGGTTCCTTGCTATGATTTCTTTATGAAGGTCCTTAAACAAAAAGGTAGGTTATTATGGGATAAACTACTTAGCACCATACACTAAATCCTAGACGCCTGGAAGGGTTCCGTTAAGACCATGCTGCTGTGCGGGGCTTTCGGGGTTGAGGGTTTATGGCTCTCGGCTGAGGCTTTGGGCTTTAAGTTGCTTCGAGTTGGACTCGATGTTTGTAATTGTATGAACGATGGGTCAACATGTATGTATGTATGTGTATATATATATATATACTTATTTATTTATTTATTTATCTATTTATTCATTTATTTCGTCGTTGTTTATAGAGGCCTTTAAATTCCAATTAAAGTTCTCAGGGATTCCATACGATCAGCAAAAGAATCCGAAGTCAGGAACCCTGAGGAACGCACCTGTTTAACTCTAACAACTAAACCCTCCAAGTATCCAGAATGAGTGTTCAGGCCTTGAAGTTGCGGGCTCTTCGGATGATACAATGAAAATGCGCTAGGGCTTATGCTTGGGGTTAGGGTTTATAGTGTTTAGGGTTTAGGATTCTTGGCTAAGACATGCTCCCTGAAGTTTGAAGACAGGGGCACCACCTTGAGGGTCTGGGTTTTCGGATGTAAGGTTACGGCTTCCTGCAACCTGAAAGCCGCTAGCCGTTGACCAAGGAGGGAAAAACAAGGCCGGATTTCATAAGTTTTAGGGCCTAGATTTTGAGCAATAGCTCTTAAATTTCATCTGCGTACATGTGTAAAGCCCTCAGCCCGTACAACCACATAAGCCCGCCCACAACCCAAGACAGCCCCGATACGATCGATCAAGCCTCAATTGGCTCGATAAATCCTATAAGCCTTAATCGAAACACAAAAGCTGTAACCCCGGAAGCTTGCATCCATATACCAGAGAAAATGATCAAACCCTCAAAATCGCCCCTCAAAGAGCCCTAATTAAACCCTTTCCTTCAAGGCATGTATAGACCCTTCGAAGGATCCCTTCGAAACGAGTCCTTACACCAGTGGCCTCCGCCGCCGAGCTCCGCCGGCGCAGTGCCGCGCGCAGCGCGCGGCGTGCCACAGGAAGCTCGAGGACCCACCGGGAGGACCTCCAGGGGTTTGCGAGAGGGACTCGATAAGATTCAAAACGGGACAAACCTAACCTCCCAGGTACCTACTATATAGGGTAGTTGAGCCCCTGAGGCCCTGTATAGTAGGTACCTGGAGGCTTAGGGATACTGCAAGAGTTCTAGTTAATGAAGCTTTCGTGTGTTTCTTGCTGCAGGGTTGTTTTAGGGTCCGTTCAGGGATTCCGTAAGGGTGTAGGGTTGGCAAGTTTCGGTAGGCAAAAAAGGGATCTTTGAGGGGTTTGAGGGTTTACGGCTTCAAGGCCTTATTGCATGTAAGATATCTTTGTCCCATCTCTGGTGGGGTTCAGAGCTTTGAACCATGCTTTGTGGTTGTTCATACAGTATTGCGAGTGTGCTTCTTTGATGCTTTTTCCCGGGTTTGGGGTTCAGGGCGCAGGGTCTGTTCCGGGTTTGGGATTTAGGGTTCTGGACTTCATAAGGTTTTCAGACCTATATAGAATATCATCGGCTTCTTGTACGTAAGACGGCTGAATAGGGTTGTCGTTTCGCGCTTAAGCCAGTTAACGGTTCTAGCTTCTGCTTCGGGGTTTGGGTTTCGGTTCTACTTAGGCTTGAAGGATCAAGAGGCTCCAAAAGACATGCTTGCAAGGTTTAGGGTATTGTAGGGGCCTTGATAATTAGAATAGTGTTTTGGAGTATCTTATACTATAGTCATAATAAGGCACCCCCAAAATAGTATAGCAAAAAACATAAAGGCCCCCCATAGTAAGGATGAAGAGGGCTGTAGAAGGCAGGTTGCGTCGCCCAAGACCCTAAACCCTAAACCCTAAACCCTAAACCCTAAACCCTAAACCCTAAACCCTAAACCCTAAGGGTATGCCGTAATGTTTTTCAATATTTTGGGGGACGACCCGAAAGGCTCACGTACCCAGAGGGCCCCGTAGCAGTTCCTTTTGGCGGCTTATGTTTAGGATCCTATTCCCTAAGGCTCCATGTACCTTTATAGTAGATACTTAGGCCTTAAAGGGGTCCCTATATAGCTACTTTAAGGCCTAAGTATCTACGGTATGGGTACAGGGAGCCTTAGGGATTAGGTAATCCCAAAACGGAACTACAATGGGGCCTATGGGTAGAGCTTCAGAAGTGTTGTGAGCTCCTGAAGGGGGTGCTCAGATTTTGTTTCTATGGCACGACGCTTGTCGTCACCTTAGGTTCGTGGGACTCCGACGAGGGCCCCCAGCAAACTCAGCGGTGCGTTCCGTAAGTCTTGAGTTAGGAGAATTCCAAGCCCAAAGGGTTCAAGTACTGATATGGTAGCTACTTAGTAGATATTTGGGCCCCCAAAGTATAGACTGTACTGTTACTTGGACCCTTTGAGAAGGTTTTGCATGGTCTAGGGAAGTTTCTCCTTTCTGCACTGCGCTTCCTCAGGATTCTGAGGCTTGGGGGTGTGGGGGCTGGGTCGAGGGACTTGGCGCGCAAAGGGTTGCAACAACACTTCAACATCCTGCCGGAGCCAGAACCCCAATGCGGTGAACTTCAAACCGAGAAACATGAAACTTCGCAAACCTCTGAATAACCTTCAGCCCCGACCGCGAGAATCCAGGCCCTCCGCGAACACCTGCGAAGAAAGCGCCGGAGCACCCCCGGTGGCGCAGCACGCGCCCGGACCAGAGTGGAGGTCGGAAGGCTCAATACCTGGCGAGTGCTTCTTGCACAGAGGATACCCGACGACGACCGTTTAACGAGCTGCTGGCGGCGGTCCTGCTGCCGCTTATGTTGCGCCGGTTGTTGTTGCCCTTGCGCTGCTGTGGTGTTCCTGTGTGTCTGCGGAGGATGGTGGCGTCCATGTTACACACGAATGCGGTCTACCTTCCGAAGCGCAAACTAGACTTTTTGAAGCCAAAAAGAGCCAAGCTACATCCCAACACCAGGGCTCCAAACCAGAGCCGGGGTGCTTTCCAAGGGCCCCCAAACTCTAAACCCTGAACCCCAAACCAACTTGAAAAACTGGTCTGAATTCTGACTGGCGCTCGAAACGTCTTAACTAGCCCTCAACCCTAAACCTCTGGAAGCCTGAAGTCTACCTGTGACCCCATAGCTTTTTTGCGGAATACCCGGTACCAAGTTATGACCACCTTGGACTGGAGTACACCACAATTGAATTTCTAGGTACATGGTGCCCCAGGTAAACTAGACATCCTAATCCACACACACACACACACCTTAACACCTTAACTTTCAGAAAACCATAAACACTCAAGCCTTGTCCTTGTTATAAACCCTAAACCCTCGCCCCTGAGACTCCCCCATCCCGGCCGGGGCACTGCAAGTAGCACTCGCAACGCTTTTGGCAGAGGCCCGCGGTCGAGCTCAAAAAAGGTGGCCAGTCCTCAATTAAGGGGATTTGGGCGTTGGTGGTTCGGGGTCATAAGTGAGTCTAGGGTATTTGGGCAATGGCTTATATGGGGTTTAGGGTTTGAGGCTTTGCGGTTTAGGGTCTATATAGCAGTCTCAGCAAGACAAGAGGGCTCGATTCGGCGTTCAGGCTGCTTCGGAGGCTCATGGTTTCAGCGTGCAAGGAGCACATGTGCAGGAGCTGAAGAAACAAAACCGGGTCCCTGCCTACTACGACTTACGGCTGAGGCTGATCCACGATGCTGTTGTGCTTGGCTGCTTCGAGCTTGTTATCGCCGCCTCATGGGTTGCGGAAACGGTGTGCGCCCAGAGAATGTTCTCTTTTCTTGCCTTTTTAATGTGTTTTTCGGTCACTCTTATCGTCACGATTGTTTACAATAGCGTGCATGTTCTGTGTGCACTCCGCGGATTTCCGATGCGCCAAGGTGGCCACACAAAGGTAGGCGACGACCACTGGCAAATCTTGAATCCTAAACCCAAGACCCCAAACCCTATATCTTTGAACGACCAAACCCTACAGCCTAGTGGCCTAGTTAAGCCCTAAAGTGAGGTGCAGCCTTGGTTCCTTGCTCCTGGCTGCTGCCGGGGCCCATTTCTGCATCTTCGCTGCCTGGCTCCGGCAACAGCGTGCTTGGCCTTGGGCGGCCTGGGTTCCTTCTTAACCCTAAACCCGAAACCTCAAACCCTAAACCCTGAACCCTAAACCCGAAATGGCAACTGGTTGATTGAAACCTAACACCAGAGTCACCAGAGGAGCCAACGCGACACCCGGAAGCGACAGCCAACAACCCTAAATCTGAATCTGGAATCCGAAACTTACCGCCAACTCGTATATAGTCCTGCCAGCAGAACCTAATTCTCAGATTCCGATTTATGAGAGTGCATCATGGAACCCTGCACCCTCGATCCTGAGCGAGCTGCTTTTCCAAGCACTATGGGCCTTGTACAATTTTTAGGCCCTAGTCCCACAAGAAAGGCTGATGAAATGCAAACGTCTTGGCGGAGCCCCCTACACACTCGAACACCCAAAAGCGAACCTCTAAGGTCCGACTAACCTTGTACACAACCCAGAAACAAACAACTACACAAATCGCATAAAGCCCTGAAAGCATAAGTTTTTGCGATCTTGTAATCTTATAACTTATTACCTATCATAAAGCCTCTTAGGGTTCGGCGTAGGGGGTCCGCCGTGCCTTCCTCCGACTCCTCCTCGTCGCTGCCAGCCTGGCGCTTAGACACGACAGCCCAAATGCGGCTTTGAGCTTATGGGGAAGGGGAAGGTTTAGGGTTTAGGGTTTAGGAAGCTACTTATATAGGGAGTTCATGTAACTAACTGAGGATCCTGATGGCTAGGATCAGTTGTGTTCGTCCCTCTTCGGGTTGCTTTCGGAAGCCAGGTGGTGGGGCTTCGGTGCTTCCCGGTTTTACATACTGGTGTAGAGGTCTTCTCCGGTTGTTGGGTTCTACGGCTTGGGGCTTTAGAGCTTCACCCCAAACCCTCCGGTTTGGTCCGGCTTACTGTAGGGGTTGTTGGGATTCAGTGGCGTCACAACGAGGATGGGGCTTTGAGAAGTAGCATTACTCATCAACTTGGGCTTCTGAAAATACTGGTATCACCACCGCTGTTCTTATTCTAATTGTCCTTATACTTACGAGTCTTCTTGCTATGACTCTGACTATTGCGAAAGAACAGAAACTAGTTCATGGTTGGGATAGAATTAAAAGAGCAATCTTCTATTTCTTGTTGGGTTTAAGTGGCCATAGAAACGTAAAATGTTACCCCCACTTAGACAAAAAACTGCTTTGCTGGGAGCCCTTCGAGCCCCCGAGCCCTGCATCCATGACTTCGGGGTTTGCAAGAATTGGGCTTTATAGGGTTTGCAGTTGCGAGTGTAGGGGTTTATTTTGAGGTTTAGGGCTTGTGGTGTTGAGGGATCACAGGGTTTAGGGTTTAGGTCTTCAGGGTGCAAGGAGGAAAGGTTAAGGGCGGATGGCTTTTTCGGCCGGGAGTCCTGGGTGAGGCCGAGAACAGCCGCGTGCTGTGCGGCGAAGCGTAGCTGACGACGAAAACGCCGCCCAGGGGCCTCAGTCTTTAGGAGGGAGAAGGCAGGGGTTCTGGGTTGGCGTATTCTGCTACTCTTGGTTGTTGGGGCGGAAGGCTGCTGCATTCAAACACCGTACAATCGCTGGAGTTCAGTGCAGACAACTCGGGGCATACAGTACAGACGGATGCTCGGCTGAGATCTGGAAGGACGAACTTTTAGGATCCGGGGCTCCGAGCGCCTGCGGCCTGGTGCTAAAGTTTCTGCTGAAGTTTGCGGAGAAGGGCTTATCGGCATGTTTGGTCCTGGGTGCAAGAGCTTCAAGCATCTGACAGCACCGGCTTTTTCGGGGGGGGGGGGGGGGGGGNNGAAAACCGTTAAGAAACTTGAACGTTCTCGTCCCAGAAGCCGACGGAACCATGGTGTGCTAAACCGCGAACGGCCAAGCGTGTCTCTAGAGCTCTAGCCTGCTAATATGTGGCTTCCACGCTGATATGCTTCCTTTCAGAGGTCGTTTCCAGCGTTTTACGGTACGAAGGTGTTAGATTGAGGGGCGGGTTCCTGCACTAATCAAAGGGTGCCGTACCAAGTAAAATAGGGATCCTGATAACAAGGATTCTACCAAGCAGGCTCGAAATTCGGGCCCCTCATTTTCTCTCGGTGCAAAATGCCGTCAGACTCTACTGTTTAAAGATTTAGACTTGGGCTGTAAACCCTTTATTCCCAAACGCTCCTTGTGTTAGAGCTGGAAAGGAGCTTCAGCTAACGAGGAAGGCTCTAAATGTAGACTCCCACACAAATTATCATAAATTGCCAGGAAAGCTGGCATGCGGACCCCTTCAGCCAAAAGGAACCGCTAATGACCGCTAATGTCAACAACCCCGCTCCGGACAAGTTTGGGCTTGCTCTGAGCCTTCTGCCAACAGGCTCCTTGCAAGCGTGACGGTGTTGAAAGCGTTCTGCTCCAGCACGAAGCCGTAGTCTGCAGAATGTTTGGTGGCGTGTTCTAAGGTTTAGATAAGTTTAGGGTTCGGGAGCCTAGGAGTTTGTGACGTCGGGCTGGAGGAATCAAAATACCCTGCAGCGCTGGAGCTTTGATAGACCGGCGGCACATGCAGAGGTTTAGCCTAGTTGCTGTATCAAATGGGGAATGTACCCCGCAGGGTTAAATAGGCTATATCACCACCACCACTGCTGCGACTGCGACGACAACGACGACGACTGCAAAGACGACGAC